GTACAGTTGTGCCCGTGAATCCACCGGCGATGTGCCCTCAAACGTCTGCCTTTGCTGCCTCCCCAGCCTCACTCGCACCCCAGGAGACGCTCGCATTACTCTTCGCGCTTCGTTTCGTTTGATCAGCCCAAACCTGACTGGGCACCGGCGCTTGCCCTCAAGGACGCTGCCAGCAGCGTTGAGTCTAGGGACAGGCGCCGGCAGTGTTTCGGTGACGCTCTGTCGCAGATCGGGGAAGAGCGCAGGAGTTGGTGCTCTTCCTTTCCAAAGCGGCGTGAGGGACGTCATTCCCCGTCCGGATAGGCAACGGCAGGCCTTGGACCGCGTTGTGCGACTGATAACAGTGGAAACTCGGCAAAGCTGAAGGAAGTCGTTTCGAGCGATCCAGTTTCTCCGCTGCTGTTCCGCATTAAATAATCCCTGTTGTAAGAACACGCTGCTAGATACCACAGCAACACACGAGTCCTTCAGATGTGAGGATTCTATTAAAACACACACAGAGCCCCTCAAAGTACAGAGAAGTAGTGGGTGCTTCCTTTTCTCACATGGAAGCTTTGCAGGGCTGTTGTAAGGCTTGCTCGTTTCCATTTGCTACAATTATTTTTCAAGGAAGTGACAGGTCTGGACTTAAAAGGAAAATCCAGCAACTTCTCTACATGTCCTAGCAGGCTTCTTTAATTAGGAAGAAAATAGACTGTGAGGTTACAGGCTTCCGTTTATGAATTGCTGAGTTCTGAAGTAAAGTAGGAAAACAGTAAAATACCTATTTGAAAGTGAGTGAATTATAAGGCTCTCATTCAAAGTAATTAATGAAAGAAATACTTAATTTTTTGGGAGTGAAATGGGCCTCTGTATCCTTTTAGATTTGTTTCTTTTCCCAGACTCCATTCGGAAAGATGAATGCACATTATCTCCATTCATGTTGGCTTTACGTGTCCCGCAGTTGCTCTGCGGATCAGTTTTTACACGCTTCTATCTCCAAAGGTGTTCACATACACAATTTTGTTCAAGGGTTTAATGGGGTTTTGTGTGTGTTTTCAGGCAGCAGAGGACATTCGTGGGCCTGATCGGAAGTGCTCTGGCACACCGGCACTGGCGTGAAGTTCACTGTCCTCGGGTAGTTTAAACAGAAAGAGCAAACAAATGTCATGTCAGTGCAGGGGTGGCCCAAATTCGGTTCTCATTTGCCATGTTGCAGCAGTGTGACTGAGAGCGTCTGAGCCACGTGTTAGGGTGACATCTGTGTTGAGCAGATGATCCAGCACCAGCAAACGTTGTTAGAGAGGGCGAAGATGATCTAACTTACCATGAAAACACTGTATTACCCGCAGTGAGGTTACAGGTACCATGGAAAAAAGCCTCTTTTGTGTGCTCTTTAACACACTGGTAACATTTTTTGTTCCACTTCCAATACCTGTTGAACCACTTCCAAGCTCAGAAGGTCCTAGTTCTGATGTTGATCTTAACAGTTCATTGTCCATAGCTAGGATCCGTCTGACCAAAGGTAGACATGAGTAGCACTGACACCTCTGAGCTGGTGCCTTTGATTCCCCTTAATGTCAATGGAGAGGAGGAGGCACTTCTGTGGTGGGATTCAGCTCACCCTAAAGTAGATTTCTAAAGCAGGTCAGGTGAATTGTGCTTTGGAGGTGCCATCATCCCATTAAATAAAGGTAACTCAGCATAACCTGTTCTTCTCAGACGGATACCCCCGCTGCCACTCTCTGAAGTTGGGTGGAAGTTGTCCTGTGGCCGCTGTTGAGATGTTCTCAGACTGAGTGCCTACTTTGTCTCTTAGTTGTCTTACTCCTTGCCTTTATTATGACAGCAGCTGCTTTTCAAATGGATGTTCTGAACCAGAAGTGGCACCTCTTTTTTTTAATAGCTTTAGGTGCATTTTATTCCTTAGATTTCCTCTCACTGCTTTTTGAACCTCCAGCAGGCCCTGAGCACCCTCATGCCATTGCAAACCACACCTTCTGAAGAAGGGATGAGGCTTGAACACAAGCCTCATTGTTTCTAGTTCTTTGTTCAGTAACTCTGTGACCTTGGGGGTTTCTATGGCTAATTTATTTGTTAAGAAAACAGCACACACTTAGGAAACTCTTCCTGTATGGTTGTTATCTATGAAAAGAAAGGGAGCTATTGATGGCCTTCCTCTTTTAAGTATTTGAGGCAAGTACCTAGACATTGATTTAGTGTCACAGTTGCTCTACATTAGATCTGAACTCAAGGAAACCTTGGTGGAAAACGGACAGCTAAACACGCTGTGTTCTCTGTCATAATAAAGGTGACATCCCAGCTGCACCAGAAGTAAGGATGTTGGAGACAGAATATGGAGTTGTACTTAATCTGGGCAATAAACCGTAGGAGCAGGTCAGTGCTTAACAAAGAAGCTTTTTTTTTTTTCCTCAAAGAAGGGGAAGTAGTTTGACATGAGCGTTTGACATGGAAGTAGAATTCCTTCCAACTAAAATGTTCTCCATTGTTCTTCACTTATCAACAACAATTCTTTAAAAAAAGTTACCTGGCATGTAACAGCGACCATGTTACTTGAACTCTGAGATCAGCAGCGAAGCAATAATAAAATTATGTCTCTTTTCCCATTCCACTTGTCCAAGTCAAAAATAAAGGAGACATTTTGGAATCTAGTTTTTCAGGTAGACATGTAAAAGTTTTTCATGGGCCTTGTCAGTGTTATGGCCCTGAGGGTGTCTCCCTTCCTGGGAGTTTGCCCATTTGGACTCGGGGATAGCTTTGAGATAGTGCACGACCATGCCTGCTTCACCTTGCACTTGCCCCATCGCCATGGACTTGTTTGGTGACCTGGACTCTCAGCTGAACCTGGTCACTGTCACCAAAGCACCTCTGCTTGTTTTGCTCAGGTACTATTGGGCTGTGCCTTTGTCGGTGAGGCCGCCCTGCTGTCCTCATCTTTTCCACCCAGCCCACCTTGCTGTCACGCTCCGTCCCCCGCTCCCCTCCCCTTCCGGAGCAGCGTCCAGCTTTGCTGTTCCTTGACAGCCGGGTGTAAGAGCATGCCCGCACCTCGCGAGGGAGAGCGGGGATCCCTGTGCTGATTTCCTTGTCTTCTTTGTGATGCTTTAAGGATAAAGAGAGGCTATGAACAATTGGCAGCCTGTTCAGATTCGTGAAGCCCGCTGAAGCGGGGCTACTGCTACATGTCCGCAGCTTTAGTACTTTGGGTGCTGCACTTGCGCACCCGTACTGGGGCAGGAGCTGAACTAGCATCTCCCCAGTGCTGCACCAGCTGCTGTAGCTGAGCTGTGATCTCTTCAGAGCCCAGCCATGAACTGTGCGGGCAAAGATGCTGGCATTCAACTAAAGCGGCTTGGCTTCGGTCCTCTGCAGCTCAAAGAAATACAGGACGATAGCAAAGATGTACATGCAAGTCTGAAATTTCTGCACTGAACTCTGCATTCAGAGAGGAAATGCAGCATGGGCTGGAAGAAATGGAAATACCAGGTCTGTCCAAGTTCCTGAAGCAGCAAATATAGAATCATATAAAAATTATACAAGGTTATAGGCGCAAGAAAAGAGGAATTCAGTAAAAACAAAATGTATGTGCATGTATCAAATAGTGATCTGTTTCCACTGAGGAAACTGGCTGTTTAATGGTAGGATTCGTGCTCAGAGAGGGAATCTTCCATGTAAAATGGTCAATCTGGAAAAACTGCAGTTTAGAAAGTGTTGTAACAAGAGAAATCACAAGGGGGTAGTGTTGTACAGCACTCCAGCCTCCCTGCAATTCCCACGGCAGTGACCCAGTGCCATAAACCAAGTTTATTTTACCAGGGGAAGATACAAAAGTCGCTACCTGCATCTCTTCTGACAGCAGTCCCTGGGAGGATAACATTTTTCTCCGTGCGAGACAAAGACTTGTAGTGTCAGGATCAAAACAGCAGCAGAATTGCCATCTCCTCCTTTGTAGGTACGTTGAAACCAAGTGTGAAATGACAATGCAAGAGGTTTGACAGCTTAAAAAAAAAAAAAAAAAAGCAGAGATCTGTGAAGGATGAATCAATCACGACAATATTTATTCCATTTCTTGGTCTTACCTTTTTTTTTCCCCTACTATAGGTGAAATCATGTGACTCCTTGATAACTAAAGCTGACTTCTCTTACCCCCGCCTACTCTCAATGGCAGGAAGAAACCATGGCTCAGCAGGAGGAGTAAAAGGTGTGTCGGTAACCTCATTCAAGAATGCTCCTTCTAATATTCCTGCTTTTCAGGAAGAGTTTCTTTCTGTCTTTGCTACCCTGCCAAGACTCCTCTCACTGCTCCCCGTCTCATGGGGACCCGGCAGCCCTCACCAGTACTGGAAGAAACAATGGAAAGAGCAGAGGGAATCTCCCCGCCTTTCTGTTGAGCCCGGGCTTGATGTGTGCTTAGAAACCCAGTGAAAATGTGCTTAAGAGCAGAGATGCTTATTTAGAGATGATTTCATAGAAAAGGATTGATTACACTATGCCTGGCATCTGGCCTGTGAAGCTAATGGGAAATGATTAATTTAAAATGATGTGCTGCACTGCGAACAGCCTGAGACAGCTCTTCTCTTCCCAACCCTGTATCGAAAAGGGGCAGACAAGGAAGGGTTCAGGGCGAAGCTACGAATATGATGTACGGGAAAGCTCAACGTATGGCTGCAAAGCTAAAGTCGGTAGCTAAGATCTCAGCTGGTGTATATAGACCCAACGCCGCCGAAAACAGTCCCTGGCACAGAAGGGAAAGCGCTGTGAGAATTACGTGTTTGGCTTTCTTATCCAGCTGGTTGCTCATTCCATCATCGTTTGGCGCCCTCAGTATTGCCCAAGGAGGTAACTTGAGCAAGTCAATCTGTTGATCTTCTTGTGCGAACTGCTCACCCACACACTCTGACCCATCCCACTTTATTGTGTGAAAGGAGCACACTGGCAGGAAATTCAGGCATGCTTTCTTGCAGTAACACCCGTCAACAGTTTTAGGCTCAGTTTGACCACTTCAGCTGGGTTTGGTTTACAGCTGTCAAGCAAAAGGAGAATGTAGTTACAGCGTATTAAAAAATCATGTGACTCTGTATCCTTTTAAGTGAGCTTGCTGAAAGCTGTACAATAGGCACCCCATTCACCATTTACCATACCGATGTATATTGAACATCTCTGGACTCGGGGAAATAAATTTTCAAAATCTGTGAGCTTCCGTTGGAACCCATGAGAAATCTCTTACTTACTTCAGCAGGAACAGAGGCAGACCAACACTACGGTCTTTTGAAAAAGTCTGCCTAAAT